AGGTGATCCCCATGGACCACGTAATCATGACCTCATCTTGTGGTAGCCCATGGGTTAACCTCTGTGCTCGTGACCCCGCTGACCTCCCATGCCTCCCCTCCTCTTCTGCCTTGGTATTGTCAGCGCTTTCAATAATTTACATTTTGGGATAATGTGGAACTGCAGAGAGAGCAAGGATCATCTCCTCCCACATGCCTCTGAACTCTCAGTTGAAACCCCACAGCTCAGCCCAGGTGCACCTATTCCCTAGAAGCTGTGAGGTCTTTGTAATATTCAGTTCCAAAGTCAAAAGCACAAGTTGCTTGATAAGCATCAGGGAAATGAAACTGCAGAGAGATTGTAGACCACCTTCTCCCACACACCTCTGACCACTCAGAATTAACTTCAAGAAGTTAGGAAGGAACATATAATTCATCAGATGACCAGAAACCACCACAGAAGCACAAGAAATATAAGAAACCAAGAAAATATCTCTCCCCCCCAGGGAAAAGAACAACCCTTCATCATCCACAGACAGTACAATGGAACTTGTGGAAATATCTAATAAAGAAAATTCAGAATATTCATAGTGACAAAACTAAACAAGATGCAAGAGATGAGAGATAATGAACTCCAGAAGATACAAGAGAAAAAAGACAAGGAGTTTCAGGAGATGAAGTTCTTCCACAATTTGACAGAAGAAATATGGACCATAAAAAAGAATCAAATGGAGCTGTAACAGATGAAAGCTGTAATACAGAAAATCAAACCCCCCCTTGAAAGTATTAAAAGCAGATTAGACCATGCAGAAGATCAAATTTTGGATGTTGAAAACAAAACCTCTGACCTAGAAAAAAATCACCAAAAAGACTGAGAAAGTAACTCAAAAAATGAGCATAATATATGAGAAATACTAGATACCATTAACACCCAAACATTGGTATCCCAGAAAGTGAAGAAACTAATAAGGGCATTGATAATCTATTCCATTAAATCCTGGAAGAAAACTTTGCAAACCTAGAGAGGCATTCAAATATCCAGACCCAAGAAATATAAAGGACCCCTTATAGAATCAACCCAGTAAGATCTTCTCTAAGGCATATCATAGCCAGATTGGCCAAAAACACGAACAAAGACAAGATACTACAATTGGCAAAAAAGAAACATCAGGTTACTTACAAAGGTTATCCCATCAGCTATCAGACCTCGTCGGAAACAATTCAAGCAAGGAAAGAATGGGAAAATATATCCAAAGTGTTAAATGAAAAACAATTTCAACCAAGAATACTATACACAGCAAGATTATTCTTCATGTGGGAAGGAAAAGTGAAAAACAGTCTCAGATAAACAAAAGCTGAAAGAATTTACCAACACTAGACCAGCTCTTCAAGAAGTTCTGAAGGTAATGCTATACCAGGATAACAAAAGACAGACAGACAGAAATAAGAGAACAAAAAGCAGTCAAGAAAATGACCAACTTAATGGTAGGGGCAGGTTTAGGAATATCAAGAATAATGTTGAATGTTAACTTCCAGAATTTAAACGGAAATATTGAACCACCCTAACACTGCAAATTCAACAGAAGAGAGATTAAGTACATGAGACTGGACTGTTAAAACAGAATTTTATGACTTTTGACTAAAACAGTACTGATTTTCTTCTATGGATTGTTTTCCAGCTTTAAGGATTTCACTTTCTTTTAAGCTGTTGATAGGTTTTAACATCTGTTAACGTGTTTTTTTGTTTGTTTTTTTAATTAAAACATAAACTTTTCTCCCTACCTGATCCCTCTGCAATTGGAAAATATTTATGAGTATTCTTATTTTGTGGCGGAATAGTTATTTGCATAAGTTGAATACCAGTTGCCTTGCCTCAGAAATTGGAAATACTCGTTATTGCCATGGCTTTGACTGGAATGTTGTATCTGCAGATATGACCAGAAAGCTCTGGAACTAAGGTGGATCTCAAGAAAGCCAACAGAGGTTCTTAGAAAGATGGCCTGGCACCATAAACAGTTCTGCCTGGCAGAGAGCATTAGAGAAGCCATATGAAAGAATTCATACCATGAAATAATCTGGACTTTTCCATCCAGCATTGTAATAAGTAGAGATTGCAAAAGAGCAGCCACAACCAGAGGATTATTTTGAGGAGGACTTTGAAGGAAGTGAAAGAGACTGATCTTTGCTAGCAGATGGTCAGCCACAGAATACACGGTAGGCAGAGATGAGTTGGGAAGGTTCATGGGAATTATGTGCTGGGTGTTTGCTTTTCAACAGTTTGAGCAGTTGACATGTAAGTATTTTTACAAAAATGTTTAAAACCATACTGTCTCTGTTATTATAGCGTCACAAACAAAATTATAACAAATATTTTGAAAGTTGTCTTTAAAATTCTTTTTTTAAATTTTACAAGGTTTATCTATTAACTATCAAGAACTTTGGAGTATGAGCAAAATTTTTTGATATGTAAAATAAATGAGGAAATGTAAAAATAAATAAAAGAAAAATAAAAAAGAAAAACTACAATAAATAAAAAAAATTTTAAAAATTTTAATTCAAATAACTGAAAACTTTAATGTATAACTGCAGAATTATAAGATACTTTCCATTATAAAGTTATAAATTGCAAAGTCTTAAACCGCTGGTGGAAACAATGAACCTTTCAGAACCACAGGGAAGGCCAACACTGGATGTAAGAGGGCCTGTCAGACCTCCCGTCTCCCCTCAGCTGGGAGAAGTAGATTCCAGACCGCAGGTGCTGCATCTTTGCTCAGGTCTGGAAAAGGCAGAACAGGACTCTGTCGACAGGCCTGCAGGAAGCCCCAAACATCAGGCCCTGGGACTCCTGGCTTGGCCCTTAGGAGTTGGCTTAGATAGCAATTTCGACTTCTGTGGGGAGGCCCAAGGACTGAGAAAGCAGAGGCAGATCCAGTGCCTTAGCAATGACAGGTCAGGAAAGAGGAGCCAGTCCTGGCAGCCTGTGGACCAGAACTTCCCTGAGGAATGAGGAGTAGTGAATGCCAGAAAGGATGTATTGCAAGAGCTTATAGGATTTCTTCCCCCAGTTATATTGCTGCTTCTTTAAAATACATGGAAACAAGCAGGTGGCTTAGTGGTTAAGATGTTGGACTCCCATATGTCCAACTGTGGTTTGAGTCCCAAATCTGGAGGCTTGAAAATCGCAGCGGGTGCGTGTGGGGGCTCCAAAAATCCCAGGAGGAGAATGGAAGAGAGAAAGGATTGCGGTGTGGTCATCCTCCAGGGGATGATGTCTCACTTTCCCCCTCTGACTCTCTGATGAGTACACAGGGGGGAAGGGGGGACAGAAAAAAAGAGTATGTATTGGGCTAAATTGACCAACAGGTAACTTAAATCAATTAAAATATTCATGACTATGCCCTTAGAACTGAGAAATTTGTTCTTCATGTACCTCCTCCTGTCAGCTGTCACTGAAGCAGCTGTCAGGAACCTAGTACGAAAGTGAACACAATTACCTTAAATTATTTAGTGTCGTGCTAGATCAAAGGGAAATGTGTACTTATTCTGCTATTGTGGGCATCTCAATAGAACTCAGCAGAACTCAGCGTGCTAACTTCTGTTACAAGAACTCGTTACTGTAAACTCTAAACCTCTTTTATTTTCCTAGATGAAATATTGAATTCAGAACATTTCTATGAGGGCTTTATTTCATATGGATGCAAGAACTTGCCCTGTCTAAAGTATTTCCCATCCTTTGAGTACATATCATTCCTATCTTAAAAACTTTAGAGTAAGGAAAACAAAATCTGTCTTAGAGGTAAATTTGGTATTGTTGAGTTTCAAAAATCTTTTTTATTTTTCTATAGGGCACTTGCACTTATTGGAGAGAGACAGGGAGAGAGACAGAGAGGGAGAAAGAGAGGGAAAGTGAGAAAGCACTCCCCCACAGGAGCGGTCACACTGCAATCCTTCTTCTCCATTCTCCTCTCAGGATTTTGTGCACACGCACACATGTGCCTGGCGTGTTTTTCAAGCCACAGGGTCTAGGAATTGAACTACACAGCTGCCTTAACCACTGCACCACTGACTGACCCTCAAGAATCTTTTCTTAGGACCAGCTAGTGACATGGTGGTTAAGACAGCTGTATCTCACTTGGCCAACTGTGCAGTTCACATCCCAGACCCAGCGGCTTGAAAACACACTGGGCACATGTGCGTGAGTGCCCTAAATCCTGAGAGGAAAATGGAGGAGAAGGAATTGTTGCATGGCCATCCTCCCCCAGGAGGTGCTTTCTCACTCTTTCTCTCTACCTGTCTCCATCTCTCTGGAGAACGTGCACACCCTACCGCAAAACTGCAACAATAAAAGAAAAAAAAAGAAATTAAAAAAAAATGTATTTACCTGTAGTTCCAGCAGATGGCATAGTGATGACATCGCTGGACTTCTACATGGTCGGCTGCGGTTCAAGTCCCAGACCTAGCAGCTTAAACTCACTCCAGGAGTGTGTGCATAAGTACCCAAAATCCCGAGAGGAGAATGGAAGAGAAGGGATTGCAGTGTGACCATCCCCCCTGGGGGGTGATTTCTTATTTCTGTCTCTTTGTCTCTTTGGCAAGTGCATGCACCCCGTAGCAAAAATCTCTCTCAAAAAAAAAAATCATTTACATGTTAGAATGTTAAGCTTGTGTAATTTCTAAATACAGTGAAAAATTCACCCTAGACAATAAAACCACATGTTGGCAGCTCTGGTACACTCTTGTACCACAACTTTGTTGTAGTTTCTGCAAATGACCAGCATGCTTCCTCTTCTAAGTGTTATACCTAAATTCCATGTTCATGATCTATGGCAGCAGTATTTTGTTGTTTCTTACAAAAAGAGAAGACAATAAAAATCAATAGGAAAATAATTTCCAGTTAGTATACATTCTCTTAACAGTTCTTTGTTGGATCACATCTGTTCAACAAACAAAATGCCTCTGTTCATACATTAGAAAGTAAATAGGGAATCATCTTTCTCATGAATTATTTATTTTCTTTTGCAGAAAAGGATGAGGCTCCTGTTAGCAAAGCTGGCCAGGATGTGGTTTTGCACCTGCCCACAGACGAGGTGACTCTGGACGGCCGCGAGAGCACCGATGACCACGCCATCGTCCAGTACGAGTGGACGCTGCTGCAGGGTGACATGTCAGTGCACATGAAGGTAATTCATGCTAATCCTAACAGAACTGCTGTTTCAGTGACGTGGCCTTTTGCAAAGGCCTTGCATTTACATTCCCAAATGTTGGTAAGCTAGCAGAGGCACCATAAAATGGGGAAGGTATAAAATTGTCCGAAAAGTGGTTTATTCTATAAATGAGGAAACAGTGATTTATTCATTTGTTTTGAAGTTTACCCTTATTATTTCTGCATTTCCTTCTCCAGAATATAAAAACACTTCGTAGGAAACAACGCTTGCTTTGTTTTCATAACAGATTACTTTTTTTTTAGATTTTTGTCATAGGGCGAGTGAGGTCATCAGAGAGAGAGACAGAGACAGAGATACACAGAGAGAGGGAAAGTGAGAACTCACCCCCCTCCCCCGGTCAGTGGGGATAGTCATGGCACAATTCTTCTCCATTCTCTTGTCTTGGGCATTTGGGCACACATGCACATGTACCTGGTGTGATTTTTCAACCCGCCAGGTCCAGGACTCGAACCGTGGTTGGCCATGCAGGAGTCCAGCACCTTAACTGCTATGTCACCTGCTAACCCCCCAGATTACCTTTTAAAAGCTTTATTTCTTCTTTTTCTTATTCAAAATCAACATAGAAAGGTTGAAAAATACAGAGGAAAATGATAGTAGGGTGGTCTCGTTCTTCGCGTGATCCCGAAGTAAACCTCCTCCTGCAGTTAGGCTGGCTCTCCACGGAGATCACACGGAAGGGCAGCAGAGAGTCTTCCTACCCAGTGCTTCCATTGTTCAGCGGGGCCAAAACTGCTGCAGATGGAAGTGAGATGCTTGTCTAGTGTCTACACACAGGGAGCCTTGAGTCAGGAGACAAGCGGCTTTTTATTTGCCCTGTCAGGATCCTTACAAGGTAGAAACATTTCTGGATTAGGCAGGTAAACTTCATCCAAAGCCTGTCAGTTAGATAGAGGAAGTACAGAAAGAGGCGGAGAGGGGAAGCACCTATTTAATTTATTGTTCAAGGGCCCTTCCGACAACATCCCCTCCAGGGCTCTCTGCCTGAAACCCATAAAATGGGGAAGGTATAAAATTGTCCGAAAAGTGGTTTATTCTATAAATGAGGAAACAGTGATTTATTCATTTGTTTTGAAGTTTACCCTTATTATTTCTGCATTTCCTTCTCCAGAATATAAAAACACTTCGTAGGAAACAACGCTTGCTTTGTTTTCATAACAGATTACTTTTTTTTTAGATTTTTGTCATAGGGCGAGTGAGGTCATCAGAGAGAGAGACAGAGACAGAGATACACAGAGAGAGGGAAAGTGAGAACTCACCCCCCTCCCCCGGTCAGTGGGGATAGTCATGGCACAATTCTTCTCCATTCTCTTGTCTTGGGCATTTGGGCACACATGCACATGTACCTGGTGTGATTTTTCAACCCGCCAGGTCCAGGACTCGAACCGTGGTTGGCCATGCAGGAGTCCAGCACCTTAACTGCTATGTCACCTGCTAACCCCCCAGATTACCTTTTAAAAGCTTTATTTCTTCTTTTTCTTATTCAAAATCAACATAGAAAGGTTGAAAAATACAGAGGAAAATGATAGTAGGGTGGTCTCGTTCTTCGCGTGATCCCGAAGTAAACCTCCTCCTGCAGTTAGGCTGGCTCTCCACGGAGATCACACGGAAGGGCAGCAGAGAGTCTTCCTACCCAGTGCTTCCATTGTTCAGCGGGGCCAAAACTGCTGCAGATGGAAGTGAGATGCTTGTCTAGTGTCTACACACAGGGAGCCTTGAGTCAGGAGACAAGCGGCTTTTTATTTGCCCTGTCAGGATCCTTACAAGGTAGAAACATTTCTGGATTAGGCAGGTAAACTTCATCCAAAGCCTGTCAGTTAGATAGAGGAAGTACAGAAAGAGGCGGAGAGGGGAAGCACCTATTTAATTTATTGTTCAAGGGCCCTTCCGACAACATCCCCTCCAGGGCTCTCTGCCTGAAACAAAAAGGATGATAAATAAGATGGATGACAAAAGCTTGCCATTTTACATGCCCTGTGACATTGTTAATGGATTCTAATGATTAGGCAAACAGAATGCGTCTCCCCGGGGCTTCTATGCATTGGTGCCAGGCTTCCCTTTGGAAAAGTCCTGAACACTTCTTTTTAGTCTGTGTAAAAGGGGATTTAAAGGAGCATCGCCACTTGGTTCGCTCTTCTCAGACTCAGTTCCCCCAGTTCTTCCAGGCATTCCCCATGTGGATTGATTTGCAGACAGGCCACCATCCAGCCCTCTCTGGATTTTCTCAGATGAACCCATCCCCTTCTTACGACTCATCACCCGAAATTGAACCCCACATTTAAGCTGTGGTTCTTCCTGATGCAGCCTTTACCTCCCGTGATCTAGGCCTTGTCTCTACTTCTATAGTAAAGCCTGACTTACACCAACTATTTTAGTAGCTGCACCACAGACTAGGTTCATGCTGAGTTTTCTGTTAGCTCCGTCACCTACATGCCACTTCATCTTTCTTGTCTTTTCCATTTCATTTGTAAATTTTTTCCAGAGGGCACACATACCTGCATGAGAGACAGAGAGAGAGAAAGAGAGAGAGTGAGAAAGCATCCTCCATGGAGGATGATCATGTTGTAAACCCTTCTCCTCCATTTCTCCTTTGAGAATTTTGGGCATGTATGCACATACACCTAGGATTTTTAAGCCTCCAACTGTGGGATTCAAACCACACAGTTGCCCATGTGGGATCTAGCCGCCTTCACCACTGCACCACCCGCTGGCCCAAGCAGCTTCGTCTTTCTACATGAGCTGCCATGACAGCCTCCACTGTCGTGTGTTTGTGTCATTGATTTATTGAATCTGAGAGCAGGACCTTCCGTTTCTCCTTCTTTCATCTCTTCCTTTTGGTATTCGTCTACAACATAATTCATGTTGAACTTTGAGTGTTATCCATCATATTTTTATCCTTTTGTGGAACCAACCCAAATGTCCACAAACGGGTAAATGAATTGAAAGTGTGGCACATATACTCCATGGAATACTATTCAGCCATTAAAAAACAACTAGACCCTGGAATTGGATAGAAAGTGGATGAATATGGAAGATTTGTTGCTGAGTGAAGCAAGTCAGGCTATGAAAGAGAGACATTGTATATCTCCACATAACATATACTGACTGCCAGCATCTTTGGCAGAGACTGAAAGACTGGAGGACATACAAGCATTAAAAATTGTTATGGATACTAGAGCCAAAGTAGAAAAAGTGGGGCGGGGGGAGAACGTAGGAAAGGAAATTTGGGGAAAAAATGGAGAGATCAGGCATGTGTGGGACATGTCCCACTAAATCCAAATTCTAAAACATGAAACTTTGGGGCACACACTATGAGCCAAACCACAACACAAACACTTAGTTTACAACAATGATTTTAGGGCCAGCTTGGTGTAATGGTTACGTTGCAGGACTCCCACATGGCCTACCATGGCTCATGTCCCAGACCTGGTGGCTTGAAAACCATGCTGAGCATGTGTGTGTACTTGCCCAAGATCCCGGGAGGAGAATGGAGAAAAAAGAATTGCAGTATTGCCATCCCCCCCTGGGGAGTGATTTCTCACCTTCTCTCTCACTGTCTCTGTCTCTCTGTCTCCAGCGAGTGCATGCACCTCTTTAGAGGCAAAAACCTCTTCAAAAAAACATTTTAGAATACCACGGTAAGGGAAGCTTACTAAAAAATGGGTATTATTTACACCAATAACTTCATTATTAAATCAAAACCAATTGCTTACCTACTGTACATAATTTTTAAAAATAGTTGTTACTTATTTTGTACCTAAATATATACAATGATAAGTGTATGTCTGCACACATGTGCAGATGTGATTCAGCGTGTGTGTGTATATGTACATGTGTGTATATTATATTCATATATAGCTATATATTGTTAGCTATTATTAGCTAAATGAATATTTATACATATGTATATACATACATATATGTAAGTATATACATGAATATTATGTGTGTATGTATATATATACACACATAATGTATATATACACACATAATATATATACACACATAATATTCGTTAGCTAACAATATTCGCAGTATTTTTAATATTCATTTAGCTAACAATAGTTAATAATATATAGCTATATGTGAATATAATATATGTTATAGATATGTGTTATAGATATAAATTTTATTATATATAAATTATAATATGTAGTTTATATATATAAATTACAATTTATAATTATATAAATAATTATAAATTGTAATTTATATATGTTATATATGCTTATATATATATAAAGCATCGATAAATTCTGTGTATATAGATATAGATATATCTCCAAGTAAGTACTCCTGGCCTCTCTCAGTTTCTAGTTAGAGACATGGAGTTGAGTCAGAAAACCAAACCACACATTGATTTGGCCAGAGGCCACCCATGAAAGGTTTCGTTGCTGCTGAACGGGAGCTCTCAGGCAAAGATTAGAAGCTCCTTGTGGGCTAGCCAGGTAATATAGTGGTTAAGGTGGCTGGATCCCACATGGCTGACTGTGCAGTTCAAATCCCAGACCCTGTGGCTGGGTGCAAGTGCATGTGTGCCCAAAATCTTGAGCAGAGAGTGGAGGAGAAGGGATTGAAAGCATAGTCACCCCCAGAGGGGTGATTTTTCACTTTACCTCACTCTCTCTCTTCCTGCTAAACTAAAAAGAAAAAATATTTTTTTTTAAAAAAAGGAAACTCCTTATTATATTAAAGATAAATCATGTCTCTCTCCAAGTTATAAACTGGGTATGTTATATCTACGTGTGTGTGTATATATATGTGTGTGTGTGTGTGTGTGTGTGTGTATATATATATATATATATATGCATTTTTTTAATCCTGAAACTTGAGACATATTTGTGAAATTCTTTAAATTCTTATTCCATCATCGGAACCAGCAGTTAGCGTAATGGCTATGTCACTGGACTCCCACGTAGTCGACCGCGGTTCGTGTCCCGGACCCGGTGGCTTAAAACTCACACCGGGCGCGTGTGCGTGCATGCCCAAGATCCCGAGAGGAGAATGGAGGAGAAGGGATTGTGGCATGACCATCCCCCCTGGGAGGTGATTTCCCGCTTTCTGTCTCTATGTCTCTCTCTGTCTGTCTGGCAAGCGCATACGCCCTATAGCAAAAAAAACCTCTCAAAAAAAAAATTCTTATTCCATCATCATGTTAATGTGAGAAAATGTCTAGAAGAACCTCCTGTCCTCAAAGGGGAAGCATCCCTCTTACAGTGCTATGTATACTAAGTATCCGATTTTGCAGAAAGACTTTTTTGATAGCTAAATGAATAAGATGAGCCTGGAAAGGGCTATTTTATCAGAATAGATCTAAACTTGAATGTACTCAGGATGCTGAAGGCAATTATTATGGTCTGCATTTGGATCCAGTGTTTCCTTCATCAGAGAAGAGGTGCCAGGGAAGGCAAGAGGGTAAATGCCCAAAGTCCAGGTGGAGGGGTTGGTCCTTCCGTGGGGAAGCTCTGTCCTACCGCCTCAGCGCTGGAAAGAGGCTCTGCATGAACTCCAGGCCTGCAGGGTTGAATTCTGACGCTGGCACACTGTGTTTTGATGCCCAGAATCCCAGGGACTCGCTCATACTCACCTTTGCAGAGGGCGCAGGCCCAGGCCCAGGGTAATGTTCCATCCAGCTTCATTGTCTCATGGCTTTCTGTAGAGAGCCACCAATCTGAGCCAACACAATGGTGACCTCTAGGCATGCAGAAACATGGTTCTACGGACTATCATTTTGTAAGGCTAAACAATGCCATTAACATATGAATAGGCTAGTTGTTTCTGTTTTTCAAACTACAGAACAGTATCAGTGAAAGTAAGCCACAAGTTCTTAGTCAGAAAAGGCCTGAGAAGATAAGAAAAAACTTACATAGAGCTACATGGCATCTTCAGATCAACATCTGAAAGCAAATGGCTTTACATTCCACTTCCCCTTTCCCCCTTTTCTGCTCTTTAAAAGAATAAATCTGGAACCGGATCTGGCCTCAGTTGCCTCCATCAAAGGAATCGGAATCACCTGATCACCACTTTTCTATACTTGTGTGTCTTTTTTTTTAAAGAGTTATTTTATTTAACTTTATTTATTTTAATTTGACCAGAGAGGTACAGAGTGAGAAGGAGAGAGAGAGAGAAAGTGAGAAAGTAAGCTGCCAGGTCCAGGACTTAAGCCACAGTCATCCATGTGGGAGTCCAGCACCCCTAACCACCACGCTACCTGCTGGCCCCTCTACTTGTGTGTCTGTGTGTTTATTTTTAGGTTTATTTTCTAATCCACGGCCACCGCCCCCATCCCCAGCTCAGAGCATGCATTCAGCTGTGTTGGTCACAGCAAGCTAGTATTTTAGCTCTTATGTAAGTGACCCCTCTCTGGTGCTCTCTCTGTTTCTCTCTTGGCAGTAAAACTGTTCAAATATCTCTTTGAAATAAACAATAAAGGACAGGTCCATCTTTGCCAGCTCTCCAGTTTAAAGCTATTGGACAGAACCTAATAGACAGCTGTAGACCATTCTATGACCAGAAGTCTCAGCCCTGTCCCTGTCTCAGTGAGTGAAAGTCAGTCTCCTGAGCAGTCTATAAAAGCTAACTGGGAAACACCATCTAGCTTGAGATGAGACTCTACAAACAGATGGTAGATATGTTTGAGCAATTAGGTGGACAAAGCCCAGTGTTAAATTTTTTTTTTTTTTCAGTTTTGTTAGAGAGCATATGCACTTTCCGGGGAGAGAGAGATGGAGAGGGGGTAAAGAAAGTGGGAAATCACCCCCTAGGGAGTATGGCCACTCTGCAATTCCTTCTCCTCCATTCTTCTCTTGGGATTTGGGGTACATATGCACATGTGCCCAGCATGTTTTCCAAGCTGCCTGGTCTAAGACTTGTATCACACCGTCAGCCTTGTGGGATCCAACCACCTTAAGCTGCTGGTCCCCTGTGTTAAATTCTTTTACATGAGTTATCTCATTCGTCACTGGTAAGGTAGGTGCTATTGTTACTTCCATTTTATAGATAAACAAACTGAGGCTTAGAAAGGTTAAGTGACTGTATATGGTCTACTGCTTGTGCCTGGCAGGGCTGGGATTCAAACCCAGGTCTGTTGGATGCCAGTCTGCGTTTTAACCACAACACCAGTGTTTCTTCCAATGTGATCAGTGGATCACCTGAGTATACTTGGTAGGTATGGAATCCCAGATCCAGCTCCCCAGACCCACTGAGTCAGCCTCTGACCACGGGGCCCAGAAATTCATACTTTATCAAGAGTTCAGGGTAATTATTAAGCAGGATAAAGTACAAGCAAGGAGGGGACAACCTGCCAGAATAGTGTGATTTAGTGTTCAACAGCCTTGGGCCAAAAGTGGAGGGACAGGTCAAGCCTGTCCAAGAAAGACAGTGATGTCAGCTCTGTATGATGCTGGACTCCATGCCCCGCTCTCCTCTCTAAATATGACATATCCTATCTGTGTGGCAGGTGCCTCAGTCGGGAACCCTGAAGCTGTCCCACCTCCAGGAGGGAACGTACACCTTCCAGCTGACCGTGACTGACACAGCTGGTCAGAGAAGCTCCGACAACGTGTCGGTGACAGTGCTTCCCACGGCCTACTCCACAGGAGGTGAGAAGAAAGTCCTTCCCTCGCATTCACGACAGCCAGCCAGCCTATTCCTGGCTGTTTCTGGAAGGATGGTGTGGATTGGCATTTTATATCTGGCTATGCTTTCTAGGGGTCTTCCATTTTATTTTCGGTGGTTGTCGAATGAGAGCCTTAACTAAAAATTTCACAAAAGCAGGCTCCATTATGTATTGGGATAAGTTGACAGTGCTGGTTCTGGTTGGAGGGAGCACTTGGGGGATGGGACCAGCCCATGTGAGCTACTGGACTCTATAGATGCACCATCTTTTCTTGACTTGCCCTCATAAAACACAGTTATCTGGCTTTTGCAGGAGAGGATTTTGTTTCAATGGAGGTGGTCGATTTGGTGAATCTGTTCATAGTGCAGTTAAGAGGACAGTTAAAACTGTCAGATCATAGGAGGAACAGAATGGCAATTACTAGGGCCTGGGTAGGGAGAGGGAAAGGAGAGAGGTCAGTCAGAGTTTGAGTTACCCTAGCCATGGTGGTGTGAGTGTTAATGCACTGCTCTACAGTGCTGGAGTCACATGAAAGATGAGCTTGGGATCGGATCCTGGGTTGGCCCAAAACATGCTGGGCAGGTGCGTCACCTGTGGTCCTGCTGCCTGGAAGATAGGGGTTAGGGCAGATTGTGTTGTGACAAGACCCTGCCAAGGTGTCTATCTCCCCTTCCCACCACACACACACCTGTCTTTCACACACATGCCACCCAGCCCGGCACAATGAGGATGTGAGTCAAGGGGTCTGTCCAGCCTGCTGGTGGACTGCAGCCGCACAGCGGAGTGGTCAGCTATGGAGAACAGTGCTGGTGCCAGCCTGTGGTGTGGTGCTTAAGGAAGCTGGGCCCTACATGGCCAACCACTTGGTTCGAGTCTCAGACCTGGTGGCTTCAGGAAACACACTAGTACGTATTTGTGCATGTCCAAAATCCTGAAAGAAGGGAGAAACAGAGAAGGGATTTCAGCATGACCTTTTCTCATGGGGGTGCCTTCTCATCTTCCCTCTCTGTCTCTGTCTCTCTCGAGTGGATGCATGTACCCTCTGGCAAAATTTTAATAAGGAAAAAAGAAAAGAAAACACATAGATGAATGAGTATGGCAATGTTCCAATAGAAGTTACTTTTTTTTTAAGTGAGAAAACACTGCTAAGAACCTGGGCATCTGGCCATGTACCTGGACCACCAGAAGCACAGCACTCCTTCCAGTGGATCACACACAGCATGGGACTGTGGGCTTAGCCTCTCTTCCAGGGTTCGAGGCTCACCTGGCCAGGGACTGAGTCAGTGCTGATTCTAGGAGGAAAGTGCTCTTGGGAAGATGACGTAGAGGTATTGTCATCACCATAGAAACTAGAAAGGATTGATTTTGTACAACCAGGTGCCTGGGAGGGTGGCAGGGCCTGCGCTAATGTGAGCAGATGGCTGCCGCCTCGCCAGCCTCTTGCTTGCCCTGGTTCATTTACTCAGGTCCACTTTCCAGGCTCCAAAGGTGAATTGCCCATTGCAAATTTCTGGCCCTTCTCCAAGATGGTAATAAAATGTATTTGAAGTTGCAGAGAGTGATGCAGGCCCCTTGTGATTATCGCAAGGCTGCTTTGGTGAAGGACTTGTCCATGTGCCTTTAGATAGGAAAGAAGCAGGAACTCATGTAGAGCTAACTGCCCCCTGGGCTCACTTACTGGTTACATTGGAATAATATGCTATGAATTAAAGTTATTTTAACAGTGGGGCTGGCAGGTGGCGTGGTAGTTAAAGACGCTAGATTCCCACATGGCCGACCACAGTTCGAGTCCCGGACCTAGTAGCTTGCTTTCTCACTTTCCCTTTCTCTCTCTTTCTCTGTCTCTGTCTGGTCAAAATAAAAAATAATAATACGAATGGAAATAAATAAATAAATCTTAAGAAAAAAGTTCATTAAACACCACAGAGACATTAAAAACCGAGGCGGGGATAGAGAGGTGTTTCTCTACCCTCTATTAATGTTGTGATTAATGACACGATTTTTATGGTAACCAAGGTAGAAATGGACCAGGAGGTACCCCTACTTACATGATAATAACAGTTCAATTTTGAATATACTGACATTCTGACCATCTTTGCATGTTCAAAAAAAGTCTTGGGACCAGTAGATGGAGTAAGGGTTACGTCACTGAACTCTCCTATGGCCAACCATGGTCTGAGTCCTCGACTTGGCTTTTTTTTTTTTTTTTGGAGAGGTTTTTGCTATAGGGCGCGTGCGCTCACCAGACAGACAGAGAGAGACAGAGAGACAGAAAGCAGGAAATCACCCCCCAGGGGGGACGGCCACGCCGCAATCCCTTCTCCTCCATCCTCTTCTCAGGATCTTGGGTACGCACACGCACACGCACCCGGCATGAGTTTAAGCCACTGGGTCCAGGACTCGAACCACGGTCTACTACATGAGAGTCTAGCGACATAGCCATTATGCTAACTGCTGGTCCCTCGACCTGGTATCTTGAAACTCATGCAGGATGTGTGTGCGTGCATGCCCAAAATCCCAAGAGGAAAATGGAGGAGAAGGGATTGCAGCATGGCCATCCTCCCTGGGGGGTGATTTCTCACTTTCTATCTCTCTGTCTCTGTCTGGTGAGCGCACACGCCCTATAGCAAAAATCTCTCTCTAAAAAAAAGTAGTCTGTACAAGTAGCAATTCAGCAAGCACTTCCTATATGATCTAGATCAGTCATCTCCAAATAGGATCCCAGAGATGTTCAAGACTTTCTGAGGGTGGGAAAGAAGACAGCAAAACTCGAATTTTTAATGTTTTGTTTTTGTTTTGCATTTGCCATAAGGTGCGTGTGCTCACCAGAGACAGAAGAAAGAAGTGAAAAATCACCTCCCACGAGAGATGGCCATGCTGCAATCCCTTCTCCTTGAGTCTTTTCTCGGTATTTGAGCATGTACACACATGTGCACAGCGTAAGTTTTAAGCCACTGAATCTGGGACTCGAACCACAGTCAACCATGTGGGAATCTAGTACCTTAACCACCATGCCACCTGCTGGTCCTGGGTTTTCAATAACTTTTAAAATATTTTCATTTTTTAATGCCAGAGGGCACATGCATTCATTAGAGAAAGAGAAATAGAGAGTAAGCACTTCTCAGTGGGACATGGCCACACTGCAATCTCTTTTTCCTCCATTCACCATCTTGTTACAATTTTGGGCCATCTCCATACATGTTGGCATGTTCTCCCAGCAGCCAGGGTCAGGACTTGAACTCTGGTTGACCAGGTGAGGTCCACTTTTCCATGCTCAGTGCTTCACCACTGTGCTATGGGGCCAGCCCTTTCATAATCTTTCATCTTAAAATTCTCGGTGCATTTTCTAAGGCATACAACATGTTAGTGCACAGTGTCTGCATGTTATTTATAAATACATTGGCGATAAGAGTTTACCAATATCTTATTGATGGTGATACTTGGACAAAGAAGTTTGTAGAGTGCTAATCCAGAAATAGTCTAATTGTAAGTATGAATTTATCTCTAAAGCTACCAAGAAATAAGCAACACTATGAGATATTTAGGATTTTTCATGTCACAAACTGAAGAAATGCGGTCTGTCATTGCATCCTGCTCACCCTCACCACCTTTCCCTCCCATCCTTCCTGGAGGAAGGACTGACTTCCCTTTCCAGGCCTTGCTCTAAGTCACAGCTAATTTCTCTTCCTCAGGAGCTTCCACTACCCTCTTTTAAAAAAATTATTTATTAATTTAGTTTATTAGTAGTAATATTTAATTTGCTATAGGGCATGCATGCTCACCAGAGAGAGACAAAGAGAAAGAGAGAGAAAGTGAGAAAGGAAGCCACCAGGTCCGAGACTCGAACTACAGTCAGCCATGTGGGAGTCCAGCGCCTTAACCATCATGCCACCTGCTATCCCCACCACCATTTCTGTTCTTTACTTTCTTCTTCTTCCTGAATCAGTATATCTTCGAATTGCCTTGTACCCAGGTAGAATCCTTTTCCACACTCTTAATTTAACTGCTTTTCGATAAAATATGTATCTAACGGTTTCACTGGGGTGTGCAGACTGCTCAGCCACCTGTTCTCCATGGAATATTGTACAATTTGCCACACAACAGTGTTTCTGAGAGAACTGTGTAGCTCGTCTGCTTGTCCCTGCACAATCATGGCAAGCCTTACAACCTATTTCTTGCCTAATACTTTTTGTTTGTGTTATCAGGCCATCTGATTTTTGTGTAGCTAAAGCTAATAAAGTTGACTTAGTGAAGGGAGAGGGAAAATGCCTTTCAAGATAATATCTGTAGCTCCTATGAATTGCACTGCAGATTAAAGATTTCCAAGATCTCTAAAAGGGAGAAAATGTCATTATTTTATAAAAATAAATTTATGCCAGCCAGTAGCTAAAGATTCTCCTTGTTCTCTATAGCACGAGTATGTTATGGTAATCAACAAATAGAATTCAATAGTAGAAAGTAAATCTCAGTAAAAACGTTTACTTAGGAAACAAGAATGCAAGACACAGCCTATGTAAAATAGTGCCTCTGTTAAAACATGGTCAGCCAAGTGCCATTCGGGAGGTGGGATGGTGTTAAGAGGGCTCCCGAGGAGCAATGGATGAGTGGTCCCAGTGTTGGAGTGAAGGAATGAACGCAGAGTGAGACAACAAGGAACTAAGCCAGGTGGATGGAGAAGACCAGGCTGCTGCTTCCCTGTGTCTACATTTCTTGTGCCTACTCCTCAGGCATGAGGCTTGAGAACAGCCCTCAGGCAAGCAGCCCCTGGGTAGTCTTGAGAATTAGGTTAGGAGGGTCGAAAAGATCCCCCTAACCTTCTAGAGCCTGTAAAGCCAACACTGTTTGATTTTCTTCACTGTCTGCATTTTTTTAAAAGAGTTTTCATTTAATTTTATTTATTATTATTATTATTTTAATTTGCTATAGGGAGCGCATGTTCATCAGAGAGAGACAGAGAGAGAGAGAAAGAGAGAGAGAGAGAGAGCAAGCAAGCAAGCAGACAGGTCCACAGTCCACGGTGGGAGTCCAGCGCCTTAACTACCACGCCACCTGCTGGCTCCTTTCTCTTTTTAGTTTTTGCTATAGGGTTCACGCACTCTTCAGAGAGAGACAAAGAATGAAAGTAAGATATCACCCCCAGGGGGAATGGCCATGCTGCAATCCCTTCTCCTTTTCTCCTGTTCGGATTTGGGTGTGCACACACACATGCCCAGTGTGTTTCTTAGGCCACTGTCCTGGGACTCGAACTGTGCAGTCGGCCATGTGGGATCCAGCTACCTTAACCTCCACACCATCTGCTGATCCCCAGATACATTTTAAAATTTTTGTTTCTTTATTTCTTCTGAGAGAGAAAGCGAGATACCTCCAACACATTTCTCACACCTCAACCAGGCCCCAGTCTCAGCCAGCCCAGATCACAGGCACACGGGTCCAGTGTGCTCATGGAGGTCCCAGGGTGCAAACCCAGGACCTTTCCCATGCGAGTCCAGTCGCACTACCACTGCACCACCACCCAGCCCCCGAGTGCGTTTGATTGTACACACAGCCTCTGTTCAGCTTGACGGTGAAGGTCTAGGTTTTTGCTGCACTCCCATGACTTGAGACTTGTTCACCACAGGTTGTTCCAACGTCTGCTCGCGCTACCACTTCTTCTGTGACGATGGCTGCTGTGTGGACATCACACTGGCTTGTGACGGGGTGCGCCAGTGTCCCGATGGGTCTGATGAAGCCTTCTGTCAGAACCGTGAGTCTCTGCCTCATCCTGTCAGGCGATGGCATGGGTGTGTCTGTGTTCTCAAATAAACAGTATGAACTTTGTTTTTACTCTGCCTGGTTTCAGGTATAATTTTTTAATGAAAAGGCTATGCTTTAGTGAGAATTTACTTTGAGCCTCTGGTGCGAGTTGCAAACATCTAATATTCTGTATTGCTCATATTTTTAATTTTTGTCTCCCAATTTTTCAAAGATTCTTCCCATCCTAAATATGCTGTATAGCATATGCCTTTTAAAAAATCAAAGTGAATTAACATTTCTTCTGTTAATTTTTTAAGAACACTTATGACACACCAGGGGTAGTTAAGTCAGAGTAGAAATCAGCTGTAAGTGCCACATATATAAAAGTACAGCACATGCAAGAAGCCGTGGAAAGTTTACCGAAGTCCTGGTTTGAGGAGGACAGAGCCTTAAAACTTTAGGTTTAACTTTTGTCTCTGTCCATTTCTTCCTACGTGACATTTGGAAAGCTAATTACCAGAAGAGACCCCATTTGAAGACTAAAGAAAATGCAAGGGAACTTCAAAAAGTTCATGTAATAATGGAATTAAAGTACAAGTTTATTTTGTTGCAAAAAAATGTTTGAAATCCATGCAGTCTTTTCATAATATGCATCTTTCATGAACTTTTTGAAGACCTTGCATGGCTTTTTATAAGGCTCTGATGTGTCTTAGATGGGTAGGTATTATTCCCAAATATCCATTATTTTAAATCAACTGCAAATTAGTCACTTTAGTTAAAACAAAAAAGAAATCCAACAACTAATAGTAGTTCTTCCACATTCCAGTGGGCCTTGATCGCAAAATGACAACCCACATAGCAACTAGTCCTGCCTCACCGAGAACCACAGAACCAAGCGAAGATGCGGGAGGGAGCTCCTTCCTGAAGACGTCCCAGAAAGCCACAGCCCCAAACCAGCCACCTACTTTGTCAAGTGCAGAGAAGAGGAATCGTTCTGCCTTTTGGGGACCAGATAAGCCAGTCGTTCCTGTGATGCCAGGTAAGGGCTTGGGTGTTCTCCAGGAAGATCTTATTTTTTTTTTCCTTTTTAAAAAGAAAATGTTGCCAAAGAGCATGTTCTCTCACCAGAGATAGACAAAGAGAGAGAAGGAAAGTCGAAAAGCAGCCCCTATGGGACATGGTCACACCATAATCCCTTCTCCTCTATTTCTCCATCTTTTTGGGATTTTGGGCATGTGCGCACACACGCCTGATGCGTTTCTCAAGCCATTAAGTCTGGGACTCAAACTGTTCAGTCAGCCATGTGGGATCCAGCTTCCTTAACCACCGTGTCATGGACTGGCCCAAGTCTCATTTTCTTTTTCTTTTTTTTTGGTGGGGGAGAGGTTTTTGCTATAGGGCGCGTGTGCTCGCCAGAAAGGCAGAGAGAGACAGAGAGACAGAAAGCGAGAAATCACCCCCCAGGAGGATGGCCATACCACAGTCCTTTCTCCTCCATTCTCCTCATGTGATCTTGGGCAGGCACGCACACATGCCTGGCATGAATTTAAGCCACCAGTTCCAGGACTCAAACCATGGTTGACTACATGGGAGTCCAGCGACATAGCCATTATGCCAACTGCTGGTCCCCCAAGCCTCATTTTTTATAGCTGACCTTGGCTTAAAATTAAGTTTATGTTTGAAGAGTACCTTAAAAAAATAAATAAAGAGAAAAATGTTAAAATGAAGACCTGGGGGAAATGAAACCTGATATTCGCACTAATTAACTTAAAGTAAAGAACACCAGCTAAATGCATTCATCAATACTCATATATACATATTCAGAGGCACCGGTACATTTATTCATAAATAAGTAAGAGTTAAGGTCTTTTTGCTTTTTTTCTTTCTAATTTAGATTTTTGCCATAGAGTACATGGACTCACAGGAGAGAGACAGAGAGATGGAAAGTGAGAGATCACCCCTTTTTTTTTATCTTTTAAACCAGAGAAAGTAGACAGAGCACACGTGTTGGTAAACACTGTCTGTACTCACATAGAGACACAGTGTGATCACTGAGCCCGATTTACAGAAAAAGGAAGCAAGAGGCTAGAATTCTTGGTGCCAGCACCCTCCAGCTTCCAGCAGCACGAAGGGGGCAGATGGCTTTTCTTTTGTCTCACAGAGCATGCAGGCACTGATTCCACAGCTTTGTTGAGACAGGGAGACAGAAATGAATTTGGAAACAGAAAAAGGTAGAGGCTCGTTCCCCATTCTACTCAAGCAATTTCTCCCCAAATGCGTTGAGAACCGTCGTGTGGAGCAGAGACCTGAAGAGCGGGGCAACTGAGTAGAGAAGGGAAAGAAAAACAAGAGAGACTTCAACTTCTCCCAAGAACTGGAAACTGTTTTTTAAAAGGAATTTTGGAATCCATCAGCATCCTACTTGTCTTCTGTTTCATCCTTCTCTCCTTCCTCCCCTTCATCATCATCTTCATCTTCTTCCCCTTCCTCTTCAATATCTACTAATCTTCGTTATCATCATCATCTTCTTCTTCTCCTTCCCCTCCATCATCCATGTCAGCAAGCATGGCTGACCTCTCCTAACTTGTTCTCACCTCCCTCAGAATGTTCCGTAACCAAGTGAAGAGGTTCTGGTTGCTGCTGGCTTTATTCTGCTTTCGATTTGAACATTTGGTCCAACCCTTTCCAGGTTTCCCTGTGATTTCAGTGGACTTTGAAGGTAGACCATCACTCTCATTCAGATGAAATTTTTTAGAGAACTTTTTTTCCTTTTTTCTTTTTTAAAGTTTTTGCCTTAGGGTATGTACTTGCTAGAGACAGAGAGAGACAGAGACAGGTAAAGTGAGAGATCACCCCCCAGGGAGATGGCCACGCTGCAGTTCCTTCTTCTCCATTCTCCTCCTGGAATTTTGGGAATACACATGTGCGTGCACACACACACACACACACACACAACCAGCATGATTTTCAAGCTGCTGGGTCTGGGACTTGAACCATGCTCCGTCAGCCATGTAGGAGTCCACCGCCATAACCACTATATCACCCGCTGGATCCTCTTTTTTCTTTTTAATGTATTTGCCAGAGGGTGCATGCATTCACAAGAGAAAAACAAAAAGGAAGGGAGAGGAGAATGCACCCCTCTGGGGAATGATCACACCGTAATCCCTACTCTGCCAGATTTCCCTCATTTCAGGATTTGGGGCACACCCTTGGCCACCCTGTGTGGTGGGCCATGTGAGATCCAGTGGCCTTAACCACCATGCCATGGAGCTGGCCCATTTTAAATGATTTTTTATGTATTTTTTGATACATGAAGGGCCAGCAGGTGGTGTAGTGGTTAAGGTGCTGAATTCCCACATAGATTTCTGGAGTCTGGCCACAGTGTGAGTCCCAGACCTGGTGGCTTGAAATTCAATACCAGATGCATGTGCATGCATGCCCAAAATTCCAAGAAGAGAATGGAGGAGAAGGGATTGCAGCATGGCCACCACCACCCCCTACCGAAAGATGGTTTCTCACCCTCTCTCTATGTCTCTTTGTCTCTCTCTGTCTCTCCAGCAAGTACATGCATCCTACAGCAAAAAATCTCTTTAAAAAAATAAAATACATGATTATGTGACACGTATAAGACAGAAATATAGGTCATCACATTGCTATATGCTTTTTAAAATACCTTTTTGGTGCTTAATCTGCATGCATTTTATTGAAATTATTTGTCACTATTTTAATAATTTTTATTTTGAAAAACTTGTTCCTTATATAAAAAATAGGGAAGATGCAAAATAGTACAAAGAGGAAAATTACTTAACATATTACCTTTTATTGAAAACTACTTTTGTGCCCAGAATTCGAAAAGGAGAAAGGAGGAGGAAGGATTGAGGCATGGCCATCCTCCCTGGGGGTGTGATTTCTTGCTTTCTGTCTCTCGGGTGAGTACACATACCCTATAGCAAAAATCTCTCAAACAAAAGAGAGAGAAAACTACTTTTAATATTTAGTCTGTTTCCTTCTAGTCTTTTGTTTATGTAAATTACAGGTTTTAAGCCCCTCTATACAAATATATCTGCAAAACATTGAATCCTGAGGGGCTTTGCCTAGGGGCAGTTTCGGTTACGTTCACTGCAGCGGCCTCCCTTTGGACCATTCCTGGTTAGTGCTGCCACTTATTGGGCAAGCCAGTCACCACATCCACGCCTTCGGATTGGAGCTGCTTCTCTCCACACAGGTTTGCATGGAGACAGCCTCCTCCTAGGAAACACAGTCAGGGAGATACCTGCCAGGTGTCTTTGGCTGGAGTGCCAAAGGGGTGAAGAATTAATGGGGAGAACCGTATTCTCAGAGGCCAGACTGGATGAATTCCTGCTACATGGAAGCTGAAGGTAGAGTGAAGACCAAAGCCCAGATCTCCTTAATGAGGTTCCGGTCTTGGCTTTGCCATTAGAATCTTGAGTAAGTTACTTGCTTCGTATCCCTGGGCCTCGGGTTGTTGAGAGAGTTCATTCGGCTGGATGACTCCTGTGCTCCCAGCCAGCACGGAGTAAGAATGGTCGGTAGCCTGACACTCCTACCTGACTCCGTCACCCTTACCTGTGCGTGCTAGGTATTGCTCGCTGATCACAGCACTGCTCCTGGGAAATGTGGGCACTGCCTCCGAACCCTTTGAAAATAACATTCCGGGCTGCCACCAGCAGTGGATGGGAGTGACACCACTTGAAGCATATCTGCAATCTCCGTTTTCTTCTTTGTGGATAACAAGCCTTTGGCTTGGCCATAAAGATTTGAAGAATGGTGTTTCACAGATACAGAGAGATATTCAGCTGTTATTCATACCGTATTGGAATTTTTTCCTAATTATTAACATAATGCTTATTTGCTATAGAAAATTTGCAAATAAAGAAAAATACAAAGAAGAATTTTTTTGATTTTTAGTTTTGCCATAGGGTACAAGCACTCACCAGAGACAGGGGCGGGGGAGAGAATGTGAGAGAGAAAGCACCCCCCATAGGGGTGGTCTTGCTGTAATTCCTTCTTCTCCTCTCCTTTCTCCTTTCAAGACTTTGGGCATGCACATGCATGTGCCCAGTGTGTTTCTTGAGCCACTACGTCTGGAACTTGAACTATGCTGTCAGTTATGTGTGAGCCAGCTGCCTTAACTAACACACCAGAGGATGGCCTAAAAATTAAGATCTAGCAAACTCTCCACTAAGATTTTTGGCCTTTTCTTAAGGTTACTTTTATATTTTCACATATGTACACCTATTTATTTATTTATTTTAAAAATTATCAGAGGGCACATGCACTCACCAGAGACAGTGAAAGGAGAAAAGCATCCCCCAATGGGGTGTGGTCATGCCACAGTTCTTTCCCCTCCACTTTCTCCACCCTGTCCAAGTATTTGGGGCTTGGATGCATATGAGCCCTGTAATTTTCTCAAACCACCAGGGTCAGTATTCGAACCACACAGTTGGCCATGTGGGTGAAAGCCCCCTTAACCATTAGGCCATGGGACAAGCTCCTACTTATTCACTTTAACAAAATCAAGATAATACTTTTATTTGTTAATTCATTAAGAGAGATTTTTGCTGTAGGGTGTGTGTACTCACCAGAGAGACAGACAGAGACAGAGAGACAGAAAGCAAGAAATCACCTCCCAGGGGGGATGGCCACGCCAAAGTCCCTTCTCCTCCATTCTCCTCTCAGGATTTTGGGCACACACACACATATGCCCTGTGTGAGTTTCAAATCGCCAGTTCCAGGACTCGAACTGTGTCTGGCCACATGGGAGTCTAGCACCTTAATCAGTATGCCACCTACTAGCCTCAGAAAATACCTTTTTTTTTTTTTTTTTTAAATCAACCTCAACATTACCAAGCTTTATCATAAAAGTAAGCCAGGAATCAAACACGAGAATTTAGATGATCGTGCTTACGAGGAGCACATTCGCACTGAACACCGTCTTTTTACTCAGCTGAGTCAAGTTCATTGGAATTTTTATCAAGGAATTTTCTTTTTTATTTATCATTTACATTCAATCACTGT